AGACTTTTTTTTAAGACTAATAAAATTGAAAGCACAAAAAGTGCTACACAAAAAATTTGAAAATTAAGAAAGCCCAAGACACACAGGTGAAATTCCAGGCTCTAGAAATTACCTACATCACAACAAGCCATTTCTTGTCACCTTCAAGACACTATAAAAATTATAGACTTGTCTTAATCAGCTGGGAAGTTAATTAGAACTGTAAGACTTCTAGACAGTACTAAAAACACAAAATAAACTGCCAAAAGGTTAATTTCACATGGGGACCCAATCATACTCTTTTTAAAGGTCTCATGTAATGTTTTAGCTACAGGCAATACGTTCATTCTTTCCTGTTTAAGAATCCTTAAGCTTTTATAGAATGTAGTACTTTTTGCAATCAGTGCCGATCTTTAGAGAAATCAAAACGATATATATATGAAATCTAATTCGTTTTCTTTTAAATCTTGATAATGGGAACTGCATACTTCTTCAAGAAGCATATATGTTACCAACATCTCAAAGGCTTAAAGGATCTTTGTAATTCTTTTTGTTTGAACTTTGCTGAATTAAAGGTGCTGTACTAAAAAACTGGGAGAAAAAAATTCAAATAAACACTATTTTACCCTAAAATAATGCAGCTCCATATTTTAAAACAAGTTTTTAAGACGTATGTTTGTTTCTTTCAACCCACATTGATTAGCAACAACATTTCAGAACATAACAAGTTCAAGCATACCACAGGTCACTTGTTAAAAGAAAAAAAACCTAGATTCTTAAAATCAAGTTTTGACACACAAAACTTTTAACTTTTAACTATGAAAAAAAAATCTTGAAAAGATCTTTAGGGCACAAATTTGATGTTCTATGACATGCAATGAAACAGAGAACACTCAACAGTTAAAATAGGGGATACAAGGACAGCAAATGGGTTATATCGATATTTTAGTCTATTGGCCTTATAGAATGTCTAATGCATAATATATAAAATGCACGAAATAGTAAGTCTAACAATAAAAGTATCTACCAACGTAATATTTGTAGGACTCACTCCTTAAATATCACATAAAGGTACTTATTCTATCACCCTACGGCTAAATTATAGCCATATCCATGTATTCATCCACAAAATATTCCCCACCAGTCTTCTAGAAAAGGTAGTTCATTTTACAACTAAATTTCCTATCATAATTGGTATCTCATAAACAAGCTCCAGAATTTTTCCATCAAGTTCAATCTACAAATCTTAGAACTCACTGAAGGATTTGAGTTAACTTGTTTGATTAGTTGCTTTTTATTGTCTTGGGGATTTTTTGGTCTTGTTTTCTTAAAAACATCCCAGCAACTATTCAGAAGATTGGTCTTTTCATATATAAAGGACAAGAATAACATGCTAACCTGAATTTTAAAAGACACTCTTGCTTAATTGTCACCCTCCAAAAAACATCCATCCTTTTATCTACACATATAGACTACTTTTTTGTCAAAAACACAAAAGCGTTTTTGTATTTAAATATCTTCTCATTAAAAAGATTGTAGTTCTTTAAATTGCTCAAAGAAACCAAGGCTTCCAAAAACATTACACAGCAAATACTGAAAATCAAGCACACGTTCAAAACAAGTATGACTGAAATTTACCTGTTGAATGAAGTATTCCAATTTTATTCACCTCCATCCATATGCGTAAGCCAAAGCACAATGTACACCAGCAACTATTCAAGAGCCACCTTTAGGTATATTCCACACACAGTTTCAATTTATGAGTCTTGGGTTAGGGGTTCGGAGTGGGGGTCATTCTACTCTATCTCAAGTCACAGAAAAAAACAGTAATATTTTAAAAGCACAATTCCAGCAAGCATACGGAAAGAATTTATAGTTTTGGTGTTCCTATTTAAATATGAGTATGTTTCCAACTTCCGACTGGCATGTACTTCACAAGTTGATGTATGATCCTTACATGCTACAATTAGCATAAAAAAACTCTAATCAACTTCCTGAATATGGTTAATTTTTAAAAAGCTTAAAAAATACCCAGCTGCGAACACTTCATGTATCTCTTAGCATCACTCTTTAATCCATAATGATTTCTAACAAAAATTCTAAAACTTGAAAATTATATTAATAATGATATGACAGGCACAAAACAAATGGCAATACAGACAAACGGAGCTGCTCAAAAACTGAGCACCTTGAGAAAATGTAGCACCTTTTAAAAAGGCCATATCCAAAACTAAGATGTCAAGACTCTTAACTTTTACATGCTAGCTTCCTGTTACATTTAAGCCATTTGAAAATTACAAACCTTAGACAAAAACCTTTAATTCTGTTTGTGCTCTATTTTTCAAATACACATTCATAACTACATAAAAATTTTAGGGTGAACTTTATGTCCAAATAAGTACAAAAGGTTTATCCCATAGTCAATCCTAGCTCCATATGTGAACGGTCACTTATGCACCTTACTCTTAAACTGTCACTGACACAGAAAAAAGAAGAAATCACACTTGTTAAAAATTCAAATTATAAGCTTTCCGTTACAAATTGTGAATAATGGCTCCCTCTCTGCAAATACATACTAATATACAGTGACAAAGCGTGGACGGTTGCAAGTGGAAATTAAATATACTGGGGTCTTTAAGAATAAAAGACAATTCTTTTTCAATGTTGATTTAGATAGTTAAATATTTCGTTACACAAGTATGACTTAGAATTCTGAAAAACAACAAAAAGTAAGTTTTTGATACAGTAGTCCCTCTGAGTAGATATTAGACCCCCTGCTATGGAGGAAGGGGGCACAAGATTACACAGGTGTAAGTTTAGAGATTCCTGGTAGTCATCATCTTTGAGACAAATACTATTCAGAGTTCAAATCTGCAACGTAATTTTGCTTCAGCATCTCCAGAGACTTGAAAAATATCGGGGTGGGGGGTTTTACAAAACAGTGCTTCCTCTTTTATTCTCATCACACCCGTGATGATACACACCAACAGAAAGACAAAATCAAACCGCCAACTCCAAGGGCTGAATTTAAAACACACACACATACAAAGCATCTTCTTTCCCATTCTCGAATCGGTATTCATTCCACCTGTTTGTAAATCCATACTTCCACAATTAACACAAGCCCGAGGAAGAAAAGAAAGAGAACAGAAAGGCAAATTAATGCTTCGGAGGAGTCATTATTCTTCCACCTAGGCATGGGGGAGGGGATGGTACAAAACAATGGATATGGAGGGGCTGGGAAAAAATCCGTTTTGCCCTGAAGCCTCGGGCAGGACGAGCTGAGGCGGAGGGGGCGGGGAGTTACGGCTACTTTTCCTCTATCTCGGAAAGCTATCGCCAGAGATTGCCATCAGGCACGTTCACCAGGGCGGTCTCGGCGGCTCCAACTCGCTGCTTCTAGCAACACACCCTGACCCGATTCGCCACTCCTCCGGGTCTTCAGCGGGAGACCTCGAGGGCGCCGCGGACTCCGCGAAGGGGCGAGCAGCCCCGCCCGCAGCAGCCCC